TGTGGCTCAGTGGTTCCCCCTGGGTTAAATCCCTAATACCAAAAAAAAAAAAAAAAAAAAAAGTAATGAAGGAATTGAGCTCTAATTCTTCTAATTCTGCCTTTCTTACATAAAATGTATATCACATAAAATAAATCACAGTGAGGGCAAGTTTCTATTTATAAATCTATTCCAGCTAATCAATAGGAATGTCAGTGAGAGAAATGTCAAAGAATTTTCGAGAAAAAAAATAAAGAATGTTAGAATTAAAACATCACTTTTCTGGGATGGGATAGAGTTTGGCAGTAGAGCACTTGCCTAGTTTGTGCATGGCTCTGAGTTTGAGCCCCAGCACCATGAAAGTAAAATATTGCTATTCTGCAACAGTAATGAATAATTGAGCAAGGCAATGATCAACAATGACTGCTAACATCTTAATAAGACAACAAGTTTCATGTGCTTCCAGGAGAAAGAAGCAACACCATTTATCATGTGACCATCCTAAGACCATTAAAAAAAAAATCAAGCTGTCTGGGGTCTTTGTGGGACATTCAAAATCTAAACTATAGCCAAGCCAATTCAATTTTAAGAAATTGCAAAGAAAAAAAAGATGGAGGAAGAAGCTATATTTTTTAAATACTGTCTATACTTGTATAACAAATACTCCCCAAATTTAGTGCCTTAAAATGGCAACATTTAATTTGCTCATGAATCTGTCATTTGGGTAGGGACAATTTATCTCTGCTCCACTCAGGCTCGAAGGCTGGAGGCTAGAATCATCACATGTCTAGCAGCTGATCCTGGCTGTGAACTAGGACCTTCTCTGGAGCTGGGGCCAGAACACTCACATAGGGCCACCCCATAAGGTTGCTTGGCTTGCTCACAAAGCAAGAAGGAAGGGAGGGAAGGGAGGGAAGGGGAGAGGAGGGAAGACATAGAGGACCCGTGGAAGCTGTACCACCTTATAAAACTTGACTGCAAAAGTCACACAGCATCACCTCTGCTATACTCCATTTGTTAGAAATTTCCCTCAGGCAAGAAGAATTAAACTTTATCTTATTTACTTATTTCCTGGGGTGAGGGGTTGCCAAGGAATGAATCCGGGGCTTTGTGCATGCTATGCATGTACTTACCACTGAGGTACACCTCCAACCCCAAAACTTTACCTTTTGAGGAGAGGAATGTCAAAGAATTTTCGAGAATTTTTTTTTTTTTTTTTTTTTTTAGGGCTGGGTTGTAGTTCAGTGGTAGAGCCCTTGCCTGGCACATGTGAGGTACTGGGGTTCTATCCTCGGCACCACATAAAAATAAATAAATAAAATAAAGGTATAGTGTCCATCTACAATTAAAAAATTAAAGCCACCATAATAAACAATTACAATCGGTTTAGTATAAAAAGTATTGTTAAAAAGAATAATTTTAGGGAAATACAGATATTATATATATGTTTATATATTATGTGTATATATAAATAATATGTACATGTGATATTGCATATATGTGACATTAAGTAATGTGTATTTGGGGGTACATGATAATGCTGTTGTAGTTATTTTATAAAGAGGAGTCCTTGTCTTTAGACATACATACAAAAATATTTATGGATGAAAATATGCGGTGATTTGCTTCAAAATATCCTGGAGGTATGCATGACTATATAGAGGAAACTCAATATTGTCTATGATTTAACCGCAGAAACTAGGTGATGGGTACAAGGGGATTCCTTATATAATTCTTTCTACTGTGTTTGAAAATGCTTACAATAGAAAGTTTTAAAGTTTAGTGGATCAAAACTTTCTGATCGACATAACCCTAAGAGTCTGTTATTTTCTCTGGCCCCAGAGATTGGGAAGAAACCATAGCTGAGTAAAGCCACTTTTGAGAACAGTTAAATCACGCCACCCATAGATACTAAGGGTTGCTCAGGAGTTATCCTGACATTGGGACAGGAAGCTCTTAGGACCTGGGGACAAAGAAAGCTTCAGAAGTCCTGAAGGGGAACATGCATTTGTGGACAAACAGAGGTGCTAAATATCAATCTATTTTGAAACAGCAGAAAGCTAGAGGAGAGGGCTACATTAGACCATGAACTTGACGGCAGTCCTTCTCTAGACGGAATTTCTGCTTCCTCTGTAAGAATTACAGTCTATTGGAATGGGACTATTTAATTTCCAGGCAGGAGCTCAATAGGTTTAACAGACAGGTTCTGGGATCTCAAATCCAACCCCACAAAGTCTGTGGCTTGTCTGCGCTCCCCATAAGCGTGATCTTCAAGGAAGGCAAGGGACCTGAAAATAAAATTGCCTGAACCCTTGTGCTAGACCCAGCTCTGCACCTAATTTAATGTGTGTGTCAAGGCCTCCAGGGCCACCTGCAAGTGTAATGATTCCTTAGAAGGGCTCATGGAACCCAGAAAACTGTCATACCTGTGGTAACAGTGGATTTCAGTGACAGACTGAAATTAGCTAAGGAAAAAGGGCCACAACATGGAGTCCTGGAGAAAGCAGGTGGGAGTGGCCGTTGTCTTCTAGTGCAGCCACATAAACATTACTTAACTCTCTCAGCAACTAGGTATGGCACCATAAATGACATGCTGCCAACCAGAGAAACTCAGCAGGCCTCGGTGTTCAGAGCTTTTATTGGGGGCATCAATCACATAGGCATGTAGTGCTCACATAAACTGACCTTTGCTATTCAGTCTCCATTATTCCCCAGAGGTCACACTGGGAGCACATCCTGGGGCCTCAGGCTTATCAAGACACTCTTACCAGGCAGAATCAGCAAGAGAAGCAGGTCAAGGGCCACACCTGAAGACCCTTGGAACATTCAGGGTTTGGGCAATCAGTTCCTCCCGGCTAAATCCTTTACTAAAACACTCATTGGCATTTAGTTCGTCACCTTTTTTTGTTGCCTACATTTTTATCATTGTGATGTTGTGATTTATAATTTAAAAAATACATATATTTTATCTCCACCCAGTTCCTGGCACAGAGCCCTAAAACCCTTGAAATTCCCTGAGTGTTAAGAGGTATAAAGGTGAAGGAAGCATCATTTTGTTCACAGCAAACCCCTTTTAACCACATCTAAGCTTATGTCAATGAGGTGAGTTTTAGAAGCCTCTGAGGACGAAGGGCTAGTTGCCAGGGGAACCAATCATGTGATTAGAGGGTTCAGAATTTTAGCCCCAGCCCCAACCTCCCAGGAAAGAAGAGACACTGGAGGTTGAATTTATCACTGACAGACACTGATCTAATCAATCATGTGTACTGATCTGATCAGTCATTCCTGCTTAAAAACCCTAACTTAAGGGATTGGGAGAAATTTCAGGCTGTTGAATGCATGGAGGAGTGGGGAGGGGTCACCTTTGAAGAGGGTATGGATATTCCAGGCCTCTTTCCTCATAGTTGCCCTGTGTATCTCTTCCATCTGCCTGTGTCACATCCTTTTATAATAAACTGATAAATCTAACAAACTGTCTTCCTAAATTCTGAAAGTCATTCTAGCAAATTATTAAACCCAAGGAGGGGTTTGTGGGAACCTTCAGTTTATAACAGTTCTGCTAGAAGCCCAGGTGACAATCTGGGCTTGCAACTGGCATCTGAAGTGGGGCCAGTCTTATGGGACTAAGCCTTAACCTTTGGGATTTGACACTACCTCCAGGTAGATCATGTGAGAAACTATTGAATCATAGGACATGTGGTCTGTGTCCACCAGAGAACTGAACCATTGTGCAGGAAACCCCACACAATCTGGTGTCAAAATTGAGAGCAGTAGCAGAGAATAGAACAGTACAGAGAAAACACACACACACACACACACACTTTTCTTTTCAGACACATAAATTGTATCTCCCCAGCTAGAGTAGAAGGCACCATAAAACAGAATTGTGTCTCATACATTTTTGTCCTGGGTTTTTGAGAGTTCCGTCTATTAGTAGATAACCCAGTAAATGTTTTTTGTTATTGTGCCAGTGACATTTTCTCAGGTTGCTCTCAAACCTAGGATATGCCTTTAGCTCCTTTCCACCTATCATCCCAATCCTAGCCACCCATCAATATCCAAATCAAGTCCTTCCTCCTCATTAGGTTTTCTCTAAGCCAGGTGTACCAATGCAGGCTTGTAATCCCAATGACTTGATGCGGGGAAGCGGAGGGAGGAGGGTTGCAAGTTCAAAGCCAGCCTCAGCAACTGAGCAACTTATTTAGTCTAAATAAATAAATGGACCCAGGATGTAGTTCATTGAAAAAGCAACACTGGGTTCAATTCCCAGTGCCCCACACACACACACACACACACACACACACACACACACACAATTCCCTAAGGGCTATGGTTGTAGCTCAATGTTAGAGCACTTGTCTTGGACACATGAGACCCTGGGTTCAATCCTCAGCAACACATAAAAAAATAAATAAATAAAGAGAAAAATATTGTGACCATCTACAGCTAAAAAAAAATATTTTAAAAATTTTCCCTTGGGGCTGGGGATGTGGCTCAAGCGGTAGCACGCTCGCCTGGCATGCGTGCGGCCCAGGTTCGATCCTCAGCACCACATACAAACAAAGATGTTGTGTCCACCAAAAACTAAAAAATAAATATTAAAATTTTTTCTCTCTCTCTCTCTCTCTCAAAAAAAAAATTTCCCTAGTTATTCCAGCCCACATTGAGATATTTCTGACACATCTCCTGCCTGGAGAATCTTTTGTGACTTTTACCACATCCAGCCTTAAAATATTACTTAACTGTTTCATCTGACTAAAGCTTATCTCCCAACTAGACTATAAGCTTCTGGCGAAAAAGGACTGAATTGTACCTGTTGCATTACCAGCTCAAGGCCTTAACATAATAGCTGCTCAATAAATATATGACCAATGAAGGTAGACATCCTTTTCTCTGGCTCTTCCCCCCGCCTCCGCCATTTACCAAGGCAGCCCGTTGCTTCATAAATAGATGAAAAGGATGAAATGTAGCAATTAATCATTAGCACAGGATTTTTTCAAAGACTAAAGCTTTTATTCCAATCAGTGGTCATTTACATCCTGAAGATGTTTCTCGGAGTTCTTTGTGAAGAGGATAGCCTCATTGATGCTCTGGGTGATGTAGTCAATGTTGCTGGCATTGATACAGGTGAAGTTAATCCTAGTACTCTTGGGCATGTAGATATGCTTCTTCTTGATCAGGTATTCCACCTGTTGGTCTGTGAAAATCACAGGACTTCACATCCTAGGGTTGGCCACTTTTAATTTCCCAGGAAGGATTACTTGGGATAGAAACTGTTGGCATTTCTGAGGTTCCAAGAGGGTCTTTAAAGCAGCCCCACTTTTTTTTTTTGTACCAGAGATTGAACCCAGAGTCACTTCACCACTGAGCCACCTCCCCAGCCCTTTTTTATTTGTATTTTTAAATTTTGGGACAGGGCCTCACTAAGTTGCTAAGGCTGGCTTTGAATTTGGCAATCCTCCTGCCTCAGCCTTCCAAGCTGCTGGCGTGTGCCGCAATGCCTGGCAAAGCAGCCCCACTCTCCAGAGGAAGTAAGGCAGATCTGGATCAATGCTGTGGACTGGTTACCTAGTCAGTGAACTTGAATGCTCAGATACAGTCCCAAAATCAGAAAGAGGAGAGTCACCTGCTCTAGACACTTACGGCTGAGTCCAAGATAACCGTGGGTCCCAGTCTGTTCAGTGATGTGGTCCCAGGAGCCAGGGGTTCCCAGGAGCCGGAGCTTCTCCTTCACCTTCTCCTTGATCAACATGATGTTCTCTACAACCTCTTTGAGACTCTGCTTCCTGCCAAGAAAGGATAACAAAAAATGAGAGTACGAGGTCTCCCCTGCTTTTTGTTAGTTTGTTTGTTTGTTTTTGATATTTTTTAGTTGCTGATGGACTTTATTTCTATGTGGTGCTGAGAATCGAAGCCAGTGCTCGGCCACCCAGCCCTCTCCCCTGCTTTTGAAACTCCCTACTGCCTTTCCACTCCTCTCACTGCTCAAAGCCCCAGTAGAGTGCCCTAAGGACACCAGGGGAGTCTGGGCTCTGGGGTAGCTATGAATGGGAGGAAGATTTGATCCTGCTGTAGTCTGGATCTTAAATGTCCCCTAAAGGCCCGTGTGCCTTGGTCTCTCGCCTGTGATGCTACTGGGAGCCGGCGGAGCCTTTAGGAGATGGGGCCTCGTAGGAGGCAGTTAGGTCATTGGGGGTGTGCCCTTTGAGGCAATATTGGGACCCTACTCCCTTTCTTCTCCCTTCTTTTCTTTCCAGCCATCATGAAATAAGCAGCTTGCTCCACACACATTCCTCATCACATTGTACTACCTTATCACAGGCCTAAGCCACAGAACCACAAACTGAATCCTCCAAAACTATAAGCCAAAATTAACCTTTCCTCTTTTTAAGTTGATTATCTAAGGTGTTTTATTACAGTAACAGAAAGCTGAGAAACACAGATCCCACGATAATTTAAATATGTTGAGCAGGCTCCCAGGCAGATTTTGCCAGGATAACAATCTCCTGATGCTTTCAGATTTCTTCCTGCAACCAAAAAATGTTCAAGTAACCCATTGGCCTATTTCCAAAACGAATGTTCTATTTTCCACCTTCCCCAAGGTAGGGCAACCCTTGGCATAGCTACAGGCATACATATACAGTAGTCCTTCTGTAAAATTTGGCAAATGAATTGATGAATGTATGAGATAAACAGGCTACATGGCAGAGAGAGAACCAGCCAGCTGAATACTATGAACAAAGTCTAGGTATCCAAGGGCTCTTCCCACCTTCCCTACCCCAATCCTTCTGCCCTTACCATTCTCCCTGAAGGGCAGGGTTACAGAGGATGGAGGTGATTATGCGAGCACCCCTGGCAGGAGGGTTGAGCCACAGTGCCTGGGTGTAGTTCATCAGCTGGGAGAGGACACACAGCAAGTGCTGGTTGTTGAGTGTTGCCACGACCAGCATCCCCAGTCCTTCATCTGCAATTTGGGGAAAACAGCTCACCCTCAGTCTCCTCCTGCGTGACCTCAACCCTCACCTACATCCCTCCCCCAGCCTTACAGAAGAGAGGATTGAACTATGAGGTCTTCATCCAGAATAGTTGGTGGTATCTGTACCCAGGAAGTTGCTACATTCTCTTCTAGAAAAAGCACCCACAAGTCCTCCTTCAAGGAGGAAAAAGAACTTGAACGATCACTAGTCCTACCCTCTCAACTTAGGAAACAGAGGCTTGACCAAGTGAAATGATTGGACCAAAGTTGGTTTGGGAAGCTAATTTAGTATCATTTCTTTGGGAAGCTATTCTAGTTCATTTCTTATCCTTTCAGCCGCCATGGCTCTCTCTCCTTGGAGTCCTGCACTCCTTCCAGAGGGTAAGTGTCATCAAACATACTGCTCCTGTCATGGACGTGGCACCAATTCCACCTCAGACTACCCCTTCTCCTTCTGCCCATACCATACCATAAATGCCAAAATTCTTGGACAGAGACTGGCTGCAGAAGAACTCAAAACCTTGAGACACAAAGTATTGTAAGATTTCGGCATCTTCTTCCAGGTCACCGGTGGATAAACCTTGACAGGGAATGTCAAAAAATGGGAATATCCGTTTGTTCTGTAGGAAAAAGAAGAACCAACAAAGCATGGGACTTAATGGAAGAGAGAGCAGACGGCAAGAGGGAGGGAGTTCAGGCAGGATGCTGAGTTTACCTTAATGGTGAGCATCAACTTGGCCAACTGACTTTGTGTCCACTTGCAGTCAGTGATGTTCCCAATCACCAGGATACAGTCACGTGGCATCTGCTGCAAGTAGAGACAGTCTCATCAGGTAGGTCTTCTACCAAAGGATAGTGGCACCAGGGCATTTGGAGGAGAAATGCTCGTCCATTTTGGTTCCTACCCACAAGGCCAGGTAAATCCAAGCCTAGTGAAGGCTGTGAACAACTTGGGGAGGAGGAGAGGAAAATAAGACTAAAAGTCAGGTCTGGGCAGAAGTTTCTGAGTGGGGGTCCCTCTACCTCCACCACATCAAGGAATATGTTGGAGTCCATGCACAGGTGCTTGGGATCCCAGATGCAGTATTCGTAGACTGTAAAGCCCATGTCCTGGAAGACGATTCCATATGGTTCTGTGGGAATGAAGCCCTCCATCAGCTGTGGTACATGGAAATGGACAGATAGAGGCAGAGACACTGGAGAATGGGGCTGAGTCACCGGCTGACAGAGGAACAATAACAGAAAGAGAGTTGTCTGGCTTGTCCACCATTTTTCTCATGATAGAGAATAAGGACAAGAGTGAAAGATTACAGATGGGGTGGGAATTAGGAACAGGCAATGGGGATCTTCAGTTGCCCTCATCTTGTACAACACTCACATTATTATTATTATTATTATTATTATTATTATTTATAGTTGTAGATGGATAGCATACCTTTATTTATTTGTTTTTTTTTAATGTGGTGCTGAGGTTCGAACCCATGCCTCACATGTGTGAGGCAAGCACTCTGCCACTGAGCTACAGTCCCAGACCCAACATTCACCTTTTTGAGTTGAAATCATGCAAACGACTTGAGCATCCCTAAGCCAGGTCTTGAGGAACTGGGCCCCAAGCTGGAAGGCACCACTGTCACCAACAGTGTGCACACCTCCTACCTGTCAGCAAAAAATAAACAGAAGTAACACTTTAAAGAAGTAATAGTAACTGGAACTCAGTTAAAATTACTTTTTTTAAAAAAAAAATTATTTATTTATTTTAGTTTTCAGCAGACACAACATCTTTGTTTGTATGTAGTGCTGAGGATCAAACCCGGGCCGCGCGCATGCCAGGCGAGCACGCTACTGCTTGAGCCAGTTAAAATCACTTTAAAGAAGTAATAGTAACCTGGAACTCAAACTTTTTTTTTTTTTCAGTGCTAAGGATGGAAGCCAGGGCTGTGCATATAAAGCATGTGCTGTACCACTGAACAACAACCCCAGTCCCCAGTTCAGGTCTTTCTTGAATTTCAAGTTTTCGAACCAGCAGAGTGAGTGAGTGCAAACAGCACTGGATTTGGGTTCAGATCCAGGCTGACCCTCAATGGGCAAAATTGTGGACTTTCTGAGTCTCACGTGCTGCTTTTGTCAATGTTGGGGGGCCCTGCAAAGTTCCTTGATGGTTTAAGTTTATGCAGACACAGATGTCTACTCTCTGGCTCTCACCCTGTTCTCCACAATGGCTTGGCTGTACTTTCCGAAGAGGAGTTCCAAGGAGGCCTGAATGAATGATTTCATGCCAATCATAGGCAAGTACTCATAGTTCAGAGAGGGATCCTGTGCAATCTGCAGTCGGGTCTTGTTTACCACAAGAGAAACCCAGGGTTGGCCTTCATTGGTCATGCAGACTGTGAAGGAAAGGACAGAGGGAGCTCTGATGTAGAGTCTTGGAGCCTACAAGTGTGGGCTTTGCAGACAACCCACAAACAAAAAGTCTGTTCTGGGCTTCTTGGGGCTTTGGAAAGTTGCCTATGAAAAGATATCCCCCACCATCACCTTTATTTTTTCTTCATATAAACAATGTGCTGTTAGCAGATGTGTATAAATTTTGTCCTCCTCTTTAAAAAAAAAGACAACCAAAACTATGCCATTTTAAAGATTAAAATTGTATACTAGGTTCAAGTTATGGATACACAACACCAAACCAAGGCAACCTTGACTTTCACAGTTCCAAGGGCTGATTGCATATCAGAAGGGTCAATTTGGGGAATAAGAAAGAAAGAAGAGGAGAAGGAAAGAAGAGCATGAGGAGGAGGAAGAGAAGGTAGCAGTTGAAGAGAGCCCAAAGTACAGAACAGTAGAAGAGGCCCTGACTATTTCCTAGAAGGTCCCAGAGAAGATCAGAGGGCATGGAGTGACTTGGGACCTTCTCTGCCCTTTTCCCCACTGGGCAATTCTGTTAAAAAGTAAAGACCTTGCAAAGGCTTGGGCCATCCTCCATCCTCTGTAGCAGTGAAATCCTGCTGAATCTGTATTAAGTCTCCAACTCTAAAACTACCAGCATCTACCTTTGTAGGCCAGGAACATCTTGTCAGGGTAATCATCTTGTTTGTAGGTCTTTAACAAGGTGCCTTCTAGCTTGTGCATCATAGGCACATCCATGAACACTGAAAGGGTGGGCATAACTAAAATGAAAGGGAAGCCCAGGCTCTGAGCCTGAACCCGTGCTCTTCCTCCAGGCCTGGGCCAGACAGTCCTCACTCTTCCCAGACCCTGGCAGCTCCAATACAGAGACTATGGACAGCTGGTTTCCAGAGCAACAGAACCTCACAACTCCCAGCCTCCACTAGGGCAACACTCAAGGGCCACGGGAACATTCCATGGCACTTGAGGAGAATCCCCTGGGAGAGTTGGCAGGGGGAAGGGGCAGGGAAGGACATGGAATTCCCAGGCACTTTTCTCTAATGCACTGCCTTCTCTCTAGCCCCAAGTCATCCAATCCAAAATAACATGTCAGCTGTTTAGAAAATAGGAAAAGGTTGGAGACCAATGAAATAGGTAGGGCTTCCCAGATCACATAGAAGCACAAGTCAAGTGATAATTTTTTTTAAATATTTTATTAGTTGTTAATAGATCTTTATTTATTTATATATGGTGCTGAGGATCAAATCCAGTGCCTCACACATGCTAGGCAAGCACTCTACCACTGAGCTACACTCCCAGTCCAGAGGGATAAAGTTTTAAACTTTCTACTTTCATTTTGCAAAGGGCCTAATCTTTTAAAAGCAATAGAAAGAGTGCACTGTTTTCTTCCACAGTTATTTTAACAGAGTCCCATGTTTAGAAACAGTGTAATTTGCAACTCAGTTAAGTCCATGTTTGTCTCAGTAATCTACAGCCAAGACTTCTACACTTAACAGCTTCACTGATGGCCCATCAGTACGGGTAGATAGCAGAGGCCAGCAGACAGCAAAACCAATGCAATGCGCACAAAATGAGACATATTTTCAGGATCTACATTATAGCTTTCTTTGCAATGCCAATGAAAAACTAAACACCAGTTACTGAAGGAATGTTTAAATGACTCATGAAGAGCAACATGACGGAATTCTATGCAGCTATTGTAGGCAGCCCCGGATGTACAGATGGGGGAAGATCTCTAAGATATCTGAAGCAGAAAACATAGGAAATACTGAAAACATAGCAATGCGAGGGACATTTGGAGGAAAAGAAAAGGTATATTTGCATGGATAAGATTGTGTGCATATGGATTCTCTAGGAGGATATATAAGAGCCATCTAAGTGTAATTGCCTCTGGAGAGTGGCATTGGGTATCTGGTAGAAAGAGCTACTTTTTTTTTTTAATCCTAGACCATGTGAATAGATTTCCCGTTCAAAAATCATGCTTATAGCCAGGTGTGGAGAGCACACCTGTAATCCCAGCAACTTAGGAGGCAAGGCAGGAGGATCCCAAGTTTGAGGCCAGTCTCAGCAACTTAATGCGACCCTGTCTCAAAAAATAAAAAGGGCTGGAGATGTAGCTCAATTTTAAAGCACCCCTGAGTTCACTCCCCAGGAAAGAAAAAAAAGCAAAAACCTCCAATCATGCAATCATGGGGATGGGGATGTGGCTCAAGCGGTAGCGCGCTCGCCTGGCATGCGTGCGGCCCAGGTTCGATCCTCAGCACCACATACAAACAAAGATGTTGTGTCCGCCGAAAACCAAAATAAATAAACCTCTCTCTCTCTCTCTCTCTCTTTAAAAAAAATTAAAAAATAAAAATAAATAAAAAACCTCCAATCATGCTTATACATTTTTAAATGGCTGCAGCCTTTCAGACATTATATCCTTTCTACATAGAAGAGAGAGTGGCTTCTCTTGGGTCCCTGGAAGGATGAGAACGTTTCCTTCCCTGAAGCCCACATCCTTCTTGGTCCTTTCTCCTTGGCTTCAGTGGAGTCAAGGGCCAATTTCTTGATCTTAACCCATGAATGAGATGAGATACTCTGGTCAGTTTAAAACAATTGCCTAGGGCTGGGAATGTGGCTCAGCTGGTAGAGTGCTTGCCTCCCATACAAGGCCCTGGGTTCACTCCCCAGCCCACACACATAATCACCTAGAGCCAGGGTGGTGTCTATCCCTCCCATACTGCATGGCTAAAAAGGATGTCCCCAAAGAGATTCCAAGTGCTCTTAGAATGAGAAAAAGGAAGAGGAATCTGGGGAAAAATGGTCAGCAAATGTTCACTGCATGATCTGTTCTAAAATTAAAAAACACTACTTTTTTTTTTTCCTTTTTGTTGCTGAGAATTAAATCCAGTACCCTGAACACCTAAGTATGTGCTCTACCACTGAGTCACACCCCCAGCTACTCTTTTGTTTTCTGGCCTTGAACTTCCAAACTCAATAAGCAGCCATGGGAAGCAGAGGAGGTTTTCCTTGGGCTTACCCCAGGCTGCACCAAGAGCCCAGAGGGTAGGAGCTGTGAATGGGAGTGAGGGATATGGGAGGGGAGGGGAGTTGGTTCGTGTCAGAGGTTCTGCCTGGTGGCTGGGTAGCCAATAATTGAGGATGGCCTGTTTGTGGCCCCAGATTTCTGTCTCTGACCAGACCAGATTACAAATAAGGTTATATTATCTAGAATAAATTGCCTTTGTCTACATAGTGCAGAATCACTGGCCCCTCGTAGCCTACTCCAGTTGTCTTTGGGAGTTCCTCATGGTTTCTTGTGGGACCTTGAGAATAATGCTGTCGTGGTCACCCAGTCCTATTCTCCTAATTGACATCTGCTTCTCAGAATGTCACTTGGGCTCAGTATTTCCCCACTGCCACAGGCAATGGCGACCACGATGACAACCACATGATCCATATAGCAAAACTGTTACCTACCAGAGCCAGCACCTGCCTGTGGCCCTCAGGGACCCCTGAAAACCGTTCCCTCCATTCTTCCCTGCCTCTGAACAGTACTCAGACACCAGAACTCATTAAGTGGAGCCTAAGGACAGAGAAGGGTCAAAGACAGAGGAGGGTGTTTGATGCCAGGCAGACCTAGATTTCCACCTCAGTCCTCTGCCCTAGTTCCTCTGTGGCCTTGGGCAAGTTGTTTAAAATCTCTGCACCTCAGAGTATACATATGTATGCATGCATACACATCTAAAACTTAATTTGATCTTTTTTTTTTTCCTCTCTAGCTTCCACATATAAGAGAAAACATATGACACTAGTCTTACCGAGTCTGGCTTATTTCCCTTGACATTTCTCCTGTTCCATCCATTTTCCAGCAAATGTCATAATTTCATCTTTCTTCATAGCTGAATAAAGACTCCATTGTGTATAAGACCACATTTTGTTTATCTATTCATCTGTTCACAGACCCCTAGTCTGGCTCCATAACTTGGCTATTGTGAATTGTGCTGCTACAAACATGGGAATGCATGTTTCTCTAAAGTATGCTTATTTTTAACCTTTTTTTAAATAGTTGACTTCTTCACAAGATCTTTTATTACTTTCTTTTTTTCCATTTTTTAATTCTAATTGGTTATACTGACAGTAGAATGTATTTTGACACATCATACATAAATGGAGTATAACTTCTCATTCTTTTGGTTATACCAGTTGTGTAGTCATATAGAATTCATTCTACTATCCTTCCTACCCCTATACTCCTCCCCTCCCTTCACTTCCCTCTACCTAATCCAAAGTAACTCCATTCTTCCCTAGCCCACTCCCTTATTGTGAATTAGCATCCACATATCAGAGAAAACATTCGGCTTTGGGTTTGGGGGGATTGGCTTATTTCTCTTAGCATGATATTCTCCAGCTCTATCCATTTACCAGCAAATGCTATAATTTTATTCTTCTTTAAGGCTGAGAAATATTGCACTATGTATATATACCATGTTTTTTCTTTATCCTTTCATCTGTCGAAGGATACCTAGGTTGGGTCTATAGTTTAGCTATAGAACTATATAGTAACTATATAGTTACTATAAGCATTGATCTGGCTGTGTCCCTGTAGTATGCTGATTTTAAGTCCTTTGGGTATAAACCTTTTGAAACATAAATGTGTATGTGTGCATTCATGAATGTGTGTGTATATGTGTGTGCGCGCATGTGTGCATGTATCTAATAGAAATAACAAACATAGAATTGTGTTTGTTTACTTGTGAGGCTTATGGAAATAAGCATGTCCCTCAAGCTGTTACAAAGAGACAGAAACTGAAAAACTGAGGTCCAAATGTAAGTTTTGACTATAGAGTTTATAGTACAGGATACTTGGGAGTTCCCCTGAAATACAAGTGATGTTCAAACAAACTAGGTTATTATATTTTTCCCCAGAAAATGTCCAGCTCCCAGATACTCACTGAAGATGACTGCTTAAGAGAAATAGCCCCTTAGGCAATCTCCCCAGGCCCTCTCAGGCTTAGCCAAGGGGAACAAAGGATAATGGCTGCCAGCAGGGGATGTAGACAAGAAAGGTATCCTTACTAGTTTATCCAAAGAGCTCATTTCATTGCTAAGAACATGCTATATTTGAATAAGTATCCCCCAGAGATCCATGTATTGGAGGCTTGGTCCCCAGCTTGTGGTCTATTGGGAATCGATGGAATCTTAAAGACTTGGGACTTAGTAAGAGGTCTTCAGGTCCCTGAAAGTGTGCCCTTGAAGCAGATTGTGGGACCCTTGTCTCCACCTCTTTCTCTTTCTCTTCCTGACCATGAACTTAGCAGTAAACTCCTGCCATGATACGCCACCACCAGGCCCAAAGCAATGGGGCCAATTGGTCATGGACTGAAACCTAAAACTGTGAACCAAAATAAACCTTTTATCTGTCTTGAGTGTTTGTTACAGTAACAGAAATCAGACTAACATAAAACAAGAATTAAAAAGTAATTATACCTTGTGTCCACAACCATAGGGGGGTAGTATGTGCTTTGAAGTAGTGAAGACTATGTTGCTTCTCTTCCCATTTTTCTAAATGGGGTCTTTAGAGCAGTTTTCCTCCTGGCACTGTACACTGGGTATATTTAAGAGTGTTTACATTTACAGGTACATTACTTTTAGTCCATAAGTTCCAATGTCATAAGTACCCACTTTCAGATACAGAAAAATACATCTCACCCAAAGATCCTGAACTCTAAACTAAATATCAGTTTCCTTTTGGGATGAGAGAGTGAGTTTTG